GGTTAGGCCGGGCCACGAGTAGAGCGCCAGCGAGCCGGGGCGCCTGGGTACAGGTAGGCCCTGGGGTTAGGACATTGGTGGGCGCGGGGCGCCGGGCCCGCGTCACGGCCGAGCAGCGGGCAGGGGCGCGCGGCGCCCTCCATCCACGCCCGGCCGGGCGCGGCGCGGCGGCGGGCACCCGGACGGCGGGCGTAGGGCAGGCCGCGCCGGCACTAGCCTGGGCGGCCGAGCTGGCGCGCTCGGCGTCGGGCTCGGCGTTCAGCCCCTACCCCGGCTCGGCGGCCTTCACAGCGCAGGCGGCCACCGGCTTCGGGAGCCCGCTGCAGTACTCGGCCGACGCCGCCGCCGCCGCCGCCGGCTTCCCGTCCTACATGGTAACCGGGAGCGGGCGGGACGCGGGACTCCGGGGCGCCCGCGGAGCGGAGCTAGTGTTCGGCTGGCTGCGGCCGCTGGGAATGTGGCGCGGCCGGCAGCTCAGGAGTCGCCGGCTCGGTTGGCCGCCCCGCAGGCTGAGCTGGGCCCCTGGTGGGGAGGGCAGCGCGGCCGACAGGGAGGTCCCTGAGTCCGGCCGGGACCCGCGCTCCCCCGGCGCGTCTCCTCGGCTCGCCGGCTAATTTTCTCTGAGAGTCTGGGAAGTGCCTCTCCGCCGGGGGCCGGGGTCTGGCGCGGTTTGTCCCTCGTTCCCGCACCGCAGCCTGGGAAGGCGTTGGGAGCGGGTTGTGTGCTCTCCTGCGTTGGCGTGGGGCGCGAGGGTCGGCGTCACTGCGGCCTCTGGGCCGACGGCCAGGCGGTTCGCATTCACTAGCGGGGCTGGGGGCGGCGGGGGCCACCGGGGGTCACCGAGTTGGGCCCGGGAGCCGAGCGTCCAGCTGCGGCTCCCGAGTCCGATCCGAGGCGCCCAGGTTTCGGCCTTAATCTGTCCGGCGGACCACGCTTTCAAAAATCGTGCATGCGGGCGTGTGACCCGCTAAGGGCCGCCTGAGTGCTCCGTGCCCCGAGCGCAGCTCCTGCTCCGGCGACCTGAGGCGGCCCGCGAGTCTCGAGGTTCCTGAGCTGGGCCGGGCCCGGGCCGCAGCGAAGCACGTTACGGGCGATTGAGGCCATTACGGGATTGTCACCACTGCCGTCCCTCGGCAGAATTTCTGGGCAGCGACCGAGTCGCTGGGGCCTTGGCGAAGGCTGCAAATGTCTCGAATTTAAAAGTTAAAGGATGAATTAAAATGCTAATTACGGCGTATTTGAAGAATTCGAAACGGTGACTGGCTTCTGAGTTGCAAATTGGATTTGCCCAGCTTTAGAGCAGTGAATAGTGAATTGGGGGCTCTGGGGTGTTTTTTTAACCATATAAGGGCGGGGAAGAGGGAGTAGGGGGAGGCAGCGGCACTCCAGGCAACGGCAGAAATTTAGATATCAAAGAGCTACCTGTGGGCCTGTGTGCGCGCACGTGCGAGGGTTTGTGTACATCGCCACACGCAACTCCGGAACACTTGGGGGAAGATGGGTCATTTTAGGAAAGTGAAATAGTTCAAAAATTCGAGAATAAAACTATGGTACTTTTTGTGATCAACAGCTGGTCCCGAATCACACTTCGTTTTTCCTGCTCTTTTGCCACGGGAAGCGCAGCCCCAGAGCCAGAGACTCACGGGGGAACGGTGGCCGTGGGCGGGCGGAGGGGCAGCATCCTCCGGCTGGTTGCTCGCCGGCTCTCTGCACACTCCACTCACAGGCTCTTGTGGTTCCAGGGCGCACCCTACGACGCGCACACCACCGGCATGACCGGCGCCATCAGCTACCACCCGTATGGCAGCGCGGCCTACCCGTACCAGCTCAACGACCCCGCGTACCGCAAGAACGCCACGCGGGACGCCACGGCCACGCTCAAGGCCTGGCTCAATGAGCACCGCAAGAATCCCTACCCCACCAAGGGCGAGAAGATCATGCTGGCCATCATCACCAAGATGACCCTCACCCAGGTCTCCACCTGGTTCGCCAACGCGCGCCGGCGCCTCAAGAAGGAGAACAAGATGACCTGGGCCCCGAGGAACAAAAGCGAAGATGAGGATGAGGACGAGGGCGACGCGGCCAGAAGCAAGGACGAGAGTCCCGATAAGGCGCAGGAGGGCACGGAGACCTCGGCCGAGGACGAAGGTGAGCGGGCAGCGGCCGGCGCAAGGTCTCGGGGCGCTTTCTTCCCAGGCGGGGCGCAGAGCTAAGGTCGGGAGGACGCTGCCCACCGGACATCCCAGGTCCGGGCCGGAGCCCCAGCCGCCCCGCATGGGTCTGGGGTCTCCGGGATTTGAGCGAGCGATTCCTGGGGCGCTTCCCGGGGAGGTCAGGCTCCCCCTGTCACGTGGCCGGGTGGGGGCGAGGTGAGGGGTCCTGTGGGGACGGCCCAGTGCCGCAGGACAAGGGGCGGAGGGGGCTCCAGGTGCCTGCGCTGTCCCCTGGTGCCACCCACCGTGCCCGCGCCCCCGCAGGGATCAGCCTGCACGTGGACTCGCTCACGGATCACTCGTGCTCGGCTGAGTCGGACGGGGAGAAGCTTCCTTGCCGTGCCGGGGACCCCCTGTGCGAATCGGGCTCAGAGTGCAAGGACAAGTACGACGACCTGGAGGACGACGAGGACGACGACGAGGAGGGCGAGCGGGGCCTGGCACCGCCCAAGCCCGTGACCTCGTCGCCGCTCACCGGCTTGGAGGCGCCGCTGCTGAGCCCCCAGCCCGAGGCCGCGCCCCGCGGTGGCGGCAAGACGCCCCAGGGCAGCCGGACGTCTCCGGGCGCGCCGCCCCCCGCCAGCAAGCCCAAGCTGTGGTCGCTGGCCGAGATCGCCACGTCGGACCTCAAGCAGCCGAGCCTGGGCCCAGGCTGCGGGCCACCTGGGCTGCCCGTAGCCGCCGCGCCGGCCTCATCGGGGGCACCGCCGGGAGGCTCGCCCTACCCTGCCTCACCGCTCCTAGGCCGCCCCCTGTACTACACGTCGCCCTTTTACGGCAACTACACAAACTACGGGAACTTGAACGCGGCGCTGCAGGGCCAGGGCCTCCTGCGGTACAACTCCGCGGCCGCGGCCCCCGGCGAGGCCCTGCACACCGCGCCCAAGGCGGCCAGCGACGCGGGCAAGGCGGGTGCGCACCCGCTCGAGTCCCACTACCGGCCCCCCGGCGGCAGCTACGAGCCCAAGAAAGGTAGGCAGCCCGCGACCGGGGGCGCCCAGGAGGGGAGGGAGAGCCAGCCCCGGGGAGGCGGAGCGCTCGGGAGACCCGGGGGAGGGTCCGGGAAGAAGATCCAGGGGGCCGCTCCTGGGACCCAGAATTAGCAGAGTGAGGGCGGAGGGCGAGATGGAAGCCAAAGAAGGTGTGGCCCTCTTTTTAGACTTGCCCTGTGATTATTTATTTTTACTTAATTCACTGTTATTTTGACTATTATTATCTTGGCTGTCTTAGTTTCGGCAAACCGAGATTGCCACGAAATTCCAATTACAGCGTGTCCCCCTAATGAGCCTGGGTGTGTTTCGGTGTCTTGTTGGTTAAGGAGTCAGAGTTGAATCTGCTTTTCTGCCGTTGGCTAGAAGCAAACGGAAAGTTCCAGTTACTCTCAGAGGCGTTTGTCTTCAAAAGAGAAAATCAAACGTTTTTTCCGCTTTTTGTTGTTGTTGTTCTGAAAGAAAACCGTTTTTTTCCCCTGTTCTATATTGCCTCTGTTGCTCCTGAGTCAGGCTACCCGAAGGAGAAGCTCCAGGGGGAAAGTTAAGAACTAGGGAACATAACCAAAAGTCGTCTCAGCTAGCGGCCCTGAAGACAGTCGGTTTCCCAAACTGCTGTTTGCCCGGGAGTGGAGGATGGTGGGTGCACGGTGGTCTGCGCAGTCAGCAGGCTGTGGGGTCGGTTCTGACTAACTGCCCACTCCCCTGACAGATGCCAGCGAGGGCTGCACCGTGGTTGGCGGGGGCGTCCAGCCCTACCTATAGAAGGGCCGAGCACAGCAATGCAAGTAAGTGGGCACCCTGGTGCTTCCCAGACCCTCTGGAGCCTCCCAGCACCAGCTTGCTTAATGTGTTTTTCTTGCTTCTGGTCATGGGGTTAGAAGACAGAGCATTTCAATCTTGTCCAGTCTTTTCTTTCCTTAAGGGGGAAACTATCTTTTCTGTTTTATAGATTCCCTCTTTTTGGCACAAGTTCTATCACTCCTTTACCTAGGAAAAGAAAATATATATATGTGTGTGTATGTGTGTGTATTATATATATGTGTATATATATAGTACATGTATATATATATTACACACTACTGTTGTTTTCTTTTGAAACAATAGATTATTACAATCTGGGCATTCGTATGCAAGCCAGAGCCTTTTTTACTATACTAGACACATAATACACACATGCTTTGATGAGCTTGGGTTACCAAAACTCGGAGTAGCAAAAACCTTTATAGATGATGTTTGCAAAATCAGACTGAAGAGACACAAGGCGTCCTAGTCTTTTATCAGCCCTTCCCAACCTCCCCTCCACCCATGTCCAAGTGGACAGGACTCTGACATTCTCCCGGGGCTCACAACAGTATCTGAAAAAATTTGTTGCTTTGCAATGAGTCAGAATTACTAAGTATAGATCTTGAAGATAAGAAAGAGGTAGAACCACTTCAGATCAACTCGTTTTTTTAATGGTGTTGGTGTGGAACTGAAAGATTGGGGATGATTTGGTTTTTCCTTGGTCCACAGGTAGGTGTCACAATTGCTTTGGAAAAAAAAAAAAAAAAAAAAAAAAAGTCAGGAGGCCATTCTCTCTTCCCAAGCTCATAAATTTACAGATACAACAAACAGATGTCTAAATCCAGACCACATCTTGTGCCACTGTAAAAGAGAAGGATCCACACAGCACTGTCAACCCACAGACTCTAACAATTGGAACAGACTATTGTTGGACATACGTGAATTTGTTGGCATAGTATAGTTTCCCTTATGTATGTGTGACTTTTGAAAACAATCTGTTTTTCTCAGGATATCTTGAATTGATCACTTCATTGCCACGGTATATATTCTATAGGTGTGATAGGATTTACTGTAAAGTTTATTTGTAAAAGATGTACACAGTAGAAATAAAACGTGATTGAAGAACTTGAGTACTTCAGAAGTGGAAACAAATTTGATATTTATTTTTATAATGATATAAAGCTTCTAGTAATTTATGCAAGTTGTATTGCAATGGAATCTAAACTTTTTGTAAATAAATTCTGCCTGGTTTTTATTTGAACATTGCTGGTTATACAATCTTTGTTGGTTGTTTAACACGAATTCTTTACTAATTTATATCTTAAATTGTAAATAAAAACAGACTAGTCTACAATAATATGGTGTTTGGGGCTTATTTTTCCTAGAAGAATGATTTGGGGTGGAGCTCTAGTGATAACCTCCAGGTGATCTGACCTCACCTTTTTAATGAAAAGCTGTGTGAAATAAACTTTCCTTTCTGATCATTAAAAAAAAAAAAAAAAAAATCAGATGGAAGAGAAGTATACAACCGGGAGAAACATGTGCTCTAGATTATTTCTATATATGTATTGAAAAAAAAAAAAAGATGTTTGTGCCCTGAGTATGCTAATTACTTGTTAGTGTAAATTTTTAAAACTTGGCAAAATAAAATGATCTGACACCCTATGCATTTTATATTTATTTCTGATGCTGGCTTCTTGAACCTCCTTAGTAAACCAAACTGGAGAATAATATTGATAATGGAGAGTTACACACCCCCCACACCAATAAATTACTGACGGAAATAATTGTTTTTTTAAAGCCTGAATTATCCAAATTGGCCTAATTATTCAAATTTATGGAAGGATTTCTTAACTCTCCTTTTCCTATAATGCACATTAAACCTAGGGTGAGGATCTGGGGGAGGGACTTGCTTTCCTTTCAGTGGCTCTTACTCTTACCCTGGGGGAAGAGAAACCTTTAAACGACCTTAGACTACTGCCTCTTTATTGTGTTACTCACTTTCTAATTATAGGACAAGTCTAAAATTTGTAGTCAAGTAACATATTCCCTTTGATTAGTATCATAAAAGTAGCAAGCCTGTCACTTTAATTTTCAGCAAAATTATATGGATATCCATATAATATAATTTCAGAGAAGAAATGAACAATCATTTATTTCCTCTCAAAAGATAAATTGAGTGAATATAACTTACGGTTATAAAACAAGAATAATAGCTTCTTAGATTGCCCTTTAATCAATCATACACTTATTTTTCAAGAGGTTCATCTATTTTATTCCATGATTAATAATGTTGCAGCATGAGAGTATTATTGGATCCCAGCGGGGGAGGTCTGGGATGCTTTTAGCTGCTTTGGAATGGTCAGTTGGGGTTCATTATGGGCTGATATTGAACAATTTATAAAATCTTGTCTAAACATCTGCCAGCTCCGATAGGCCAATGTGTCTGAGGATGGGAAATTGCTGGACCAGTTGATATTGACAAACGGATCTCTCTCTAGTGGCTTTTTTTGCCATAGAAATTAGTGGCCTCTTGCTGGGGTCTTGTTAGAAAGGGTATTTGAAAGTAATCTTAGATACTTGAGGCCAAGCCAGGGGACTGTTAACTGGACACAGAGTCATACTGATGGGGAGGAGTGATTGGTTTGACTGGAGAAGCGGGGCAGAACCAGGTTTTTGTTTTCTGTTATTTCTTATGCATTTCGTTGGTTTTAAATACTTAAGTATTTGGAGGTCAGACATAAAGTAAATCTCTGGGGTGGAGAACTATTTTTCTGTCTTCTCTGCCTCTCCTAGTAATAGATATGAACATGTTTGGAGCTGAGCTATCTACGGGTGGGAGGAAAGATTTTTCACTAGGGAAGCGTTGCCACTCTGTGGCAGTGTATCTGGAAACAAACAAATCTGAGGTCTGGAGAGGTAAAAGGGGGATTGAGTATGTTTGCTTGTTTTGGTTTTAGAAATAAAACCTTCGTAGACCTTTCATAGAGATAATGATTTTCCCCTTCAGGAAGCATTTCAGATTGTAGTCTGAAGGTCTTACGTAGTTTACATTTATTAATATTACCCATATTTCCTAAATTAGCAGGAAATAAATTGCCCATGGCCGCAATGTCTCTGCTCTATGTACTGTTATAACTAGAGTAATTGGAAGACTTCTGTGAAAAGTATGAAAGTTAACAATATTTAACAAAATAAACACGGAAAGATCATGCACTCTAATGAAGATACAACATTTAAGGCAGTACATTTCTTAAGTGTGGGAGTGGAGAAGCCAAGCCAAAATTAACCTTTGTGCTTATGTTCAGGCATTGGAGCAGGGGTAAAAGCCGCCTCGCTTTGGAACAAGGAAGATTGTTTTACCTGAACATGCCATCCCTTTTCCCTTTCAACACACACACACACATACACACACACACACACACACACACACACGACTCCATTCTCTGGGAGGACATGCACATTTCAATTGGTGAAAACTCAAAGCAGCTCAGGAGATTAGCTAAGGCTAAGGAAGCTTCTTTGATGTTTATATGCCCAACAAATTATTAAAGATTTCCATAACTTACCCACTCTGTCTCCTGACCTGAATTTCCTTCTAGAGAACTTGATTTCTAAAATATACACTAAGAACATAAAACCTGCAGGTGTTTAGAGGGATCTTTTAAATGTAGAGTGATTTATGAGCTCCTCTCTATGCTGGTCATTGGGAAAGATGAATGAGGAAGGAAGGAGAGAGAAAAAGAGGTATCTTTCACTGGAGAGGGAAGCTAATGGGGTCTGAATTTTATTTTTGCTTTAAAAATTTCATAGTCAGAAATTACCTAGCCCTCCAAGATACACGTTTGCTGTTGTTGACTGAGGCCGGGGAGACGCCAGCAAAACGGGGCAACCAGGAGCAGATGGGCTTTGGGGCGGCAGCCTTGGCTTTGCTGCGGGTGCAGGCCTGGGCGCGCTCCCGGCTCCGCGGCCCGGCGCCCGCGTGGTGGATCCGCGACAGCCCCCTTCTGCTCTCCGCGGCCCAGGGTTTCCTTAGAGCTGATTTATCGGAATTCGCGCTTTAATCTCAGGTGGGCCCCGGGGGCCGGGCGCTGCCGAGAGCACCGGGGCGCTTGCCCGGCGGCCGGCGCGGGCGCTGCCTCCCGCGCCCGTCAAATGTCAACATTTGTTCCCAATAAAAGAGTTATTGTTTCTGCAAAGCTGCCCAGCAACTGCCTTTGAAACTTGAAAAGAACTTCATCCACCTTTGTCTGATGCGAGGAAGGAGGGGCAGGGGTCGGAGAAAGAGGAAGGGGGCTGGGTACTGGGGGCCTACGAGGGCAGCCTTGGGCCTGGGCTCAGGGTAGCCCGCCAGGGCTGCGCCTCCCCAGAACCCCATCGCCGGGCCGCCGCGGATCTCATTCTGGAGATGGGAGAGTGGCGGGGGAGGGCTCGGGGTTCCCTCGAGGCTCTCTTTAACTTACGTGTTTATTAGATCTCTGCCGACTCTGGGAGGCGCGAACCACTGCGAAGAAACACAGAGATGAAATAGCCACCTCCGAAGCCCGTGCGCGTTTTCGGATCATTTACAATTGCATTTAAATACTTATCGAGGCAGCTAAAAGTAAAGTGGACCCTTTGTTTTTTTTAACTACGCAGTAAATGTACATCCTAAACTATCACTGTTACAGCCCAATTAAACAGACATCAATTTAGAAAAAATTTTTCCCAACCAATTTGTGGTCCCCTCAGAGGCATTTTCAAAGTTCAATAACACTCTGAACCGAATTATGAGAAAGTTTCATCCAAGTAACAGTAACCAATAATTATCACTATATAATTTTTATTTAGTTGCCCAGTGCCTGGAGAATCCCAAGGAAAATATTCATTTAGATTCAAAATTAAAATATAAATCGATCTGTTAAATATGTGTTTTAAACTGCTTTTACAAAAATAACATTTTAACTATTTTTTTGAAAGCGTTAACCCAAGAGGCTATCTTGGGAACAGCACACAACCGTCTGTGCTATGTGGTTATTATCATTAACATCATTTGAATTTCTACAAATCGCAAGGGGAACATGTCCCTTTGATGTATTTTCAAACCTTTATGCAAGTGACAAATCCCTACAGATATTTTAAAGGCTAATTATAAGGAGAAGTAATCTATGACAATATAATTTTCCAGTTGCTGAAAATTACTTTCTATTGGCCATAATGAAAGCACTCACTAGCCCTCCCCTTTGCTTGGGCTAGGAGGCTATGAATCTGGTTTTCAACAATATGCACTTGGACCTCAACCATTGATGGGTGGTAGAGAAAGCACTTTGAGCCCCAGTTTTAGGAAGGGGACACCCTACTTGTATGCGGCAGCCTCTCCCTTCAACTGCATCCCTGGAAACAGATGGATTTGGCCTCAACCGGCACCTCTGTCCCCTCCACCCTTAGAATAGAGAATAGTCTTGTGTTTCCTACCGTGAAGGCAGAGTGTTCTCTCTCTTTCTAAGAAATATAATAATTGAAGACACAATTTAGGAGGACTATATTGCTAATACAAGGAAGAAAGGAAGTATCTGTTGTTTGTATTTGCGCAATCCAAGAGAAAAGGAAAGAGGAAGAATGTTTTTTTGTTTGTTTAACTCTGGCCCCGTGATAATAAAGAAAAGTATTTTTAAAAGGTGTTCTAATGTCACTTTGTTCTATATGGAGCTGAAAATAAATGAAATCTAATATTCTTTAAGAATTGACTGTGAGGTTTGGGGCTGCCTCCAGTACAGACTCCATATTCACAGAAAATACCCAGAGGGAAGAAACAAAACACAATCCTACACAAGCACTGGCATTTTTGTGGGGAGATAAATTGACAATTTATTGCGTGTGACTCCTGATCAATTATTAATCGTTAGTGTCAACAACACGGTTATAATTACCTTGGGTTATTTTAGGGAATTTTTTTTTTTTTTCATTTCTCTGATCTGGTAATTAGTTAATGCTCTTGAGTAATAAATTCAAAGAAGAGCTCATAAGACTAAAGACTCACCTAAACCTCCCTTAAAGGAAAAATACATTCACCCAGTGGTTCTCAGAAATTCCCTTCTTGCCTCCATTCTAACAGTGGGCTTTTTTTCCCCCCCTGCTATAAATAATGATTCCAGAGGAAAAGGGGAAAATGACAAACAAATAGAGCACAGCTGGAATTAATAAGGCTGATCAAAGTTAGTGGGACTGAGACTGCTGGCAGCAGCCACAGGTCTGAGGCCCATAAAGGTGCCAGGAGTTCTTGCCTCTTCCCTCTAAGATCAAGAAAAAGGGCAAATCGAACGGTTTAACCCTTGACATCTTCTTACTGGGGAAAGGTGGGCTTCGGGGAGGACTTTGTTTTTAGGCCTTACTAATAGCTGCGTTGCGGTCCGGCTCGGCCTGAGACCAGGAAGGGCGCTGCGTGTTCGCCCAGTGCGGGTGCGGGTCCCCCGTGCACCCGGCTCTGCACCCAGCAAGGTGGGGCAGGACGCGGGTCCTCCTGGACCCTGAAAGGTTAGGAGGTGAGTGACCGGATTAGGTGGGGTCAAGGCAGCGTCCTGGGGAGTCCGGGTCTGCCCGCCTGGTGCTCAGTAAGCTCGGAGGGGGCGAGTAGGTCTCAGCTCCGAGACAGGCTCCTCAGTGCGCTCAAGGGGGACGGTGCACTG